GGGGATTAACAAAGTCGTGCTGAAAGAAATTAACGTGGTGTGATCTCTTCTTCTTATTTTTTTAAAATTAGTAAGAGACAAACGCCGTGCCTAGGATACTTGAATCGTAATAACGCATTTGAACATCCTGCTCCTGCTGGAGGCAAGGCAAAAGAGATAGTGGAAGGCCACGAATAACTTGCTAAGAGAACTTGAATAGAGGGGTGACTAGAGAAGAACATAATTTTATATAATATATATACACGACACACACACACACACACACACACACACACACACACACAATATTCATAATTTAGAAGGCGGGTTCCTTCAAATCCGCCTATCACGGCCAGTTCAGTTAAAGTTGGACAGATCCCAACAGAAAGATGGAGTTACTTAATACAATCTTTTCCATGTAGGAAGCGATCTTATGTCTTGTGCGAGTCAGGCTAGAGAACTGGTCCTTCTTCAAATTGAAATTTTGTGTAAAATTAGCTACAACAGAACTTGAATTAATCGTGAACACGTACTTTGGGTTATAGGAACATGCAACTGTACACACAAAAAACAATCACAGGCTTGCCAACTTTTTCAAATACAAATCCGGTACACTCAATGTTATAAAATCAGAATACGTACAAACGAACAAAATTACAATATGTGGGACTGGCCGTTGGTGTAAAGTATGTTATTTTTTTCTCAGATACTCGAAATTCGGGACAGTTGGCAAGCTCGCAATTAGTCTTGAGTAACCTACAGTGAGTGCAATAACAGAAGCCAGGGAAATGACCAAGAGTTTTGGTGCAATGTTCGATGAGGCACAATTAAAGAATTCCTGTCACTGACCTGACCAGGGTCCATCATTGCTATTTTGGTGATCACCGACAGCGAAGCACGAGTCACGTGATCAGAATCGGAGGTGAGCAGTATTGCTACCACCACGCGACTCAAGAGGGCGCTGCAAGAGTCTGCTTCCTCCAGGATTGCCCTCATCTGCGCCAGCCACTCGCCTGAGAATGCGGTGGGGTTTGAGTAAAGAGAAGAACATCGACAAAATAACGATCATAATATAGGGATCTAGTGCAGAGGACAAGCAAGGCAAATCGACAACATAACAGAGGGAAAGACAAAAAGTAGGGTCAACCAATGGCGCCCTCCATATATCCGCAGCTGAGTATTCGGAGGTTCTGTTAAGGGCGAATCAACACTATAAAGGCTGTATTTCGGTGGAACAGATCACGCCTAATAGTTATACCAGAAAGTGTAACCCACAAAAAAGCATATTATGTACAACCTATATTATTTTATTATGGCAACTTCGGTTTAACAAAACAAAATTTTTAAAGAAAAATATTGATACGGCAAACCAAGGTGACTAAGGCATATCTGGGAAAATGTTCAGATGACTTTGGGATTCTTTTAAAATATCAAAAGTGATTTTGAACATTTTCAATGCATTACCAGAAAGAGTAATCAGTTTGGGGTGTTTCCCAGCTATATAATTATGGCTTAGTCACCTCGGGGTACATTTGTCATTCATAATCTACGCAGTTTCATGGAGTCTCTTTTGTAAAAGGAGTATACTTTAAGAGATGTGGGCAAATGGCGCCTTAAATACTGAATAGAATTCCTTTCTATCTACATATACTGAAAAGACATGAACAATCCACACTTAAGCATCATGCACAGTTTGCGGGAAGAAAATGACGCTTGGGGGAGTGGGGGTGGGGGGTGGGGGTGGATAGAGGTGGCGAGGTAGGCTACCAAAGGGGCTATTCTTTCATAAGATGAACTATTCCCAATCTGTAATAACAACACAACAAGGCCAGCCTTGTCTGAGAAATATAATTATGTTAGAATTATAGATTGTAAAGCGCACAGAGCTTGCCGATGAGCGGGAATTTGAGCTATACAAATGATGGATA